TCCCATGGATTGCACCAAAGAATCATGGGACAATATTGTTTTTGTTGTTTACAATGTTAATCTATCTTTTGTTATTTTAATCCAGAAAATAAATTTGTTGTGAAATTAATCTTAACTGGAAGGTGCCCCTTTAAGCAAAGTGTCGCCTTTTTTTTAGCTCCATGACCGAAGCATCCTGATATGTACGCAAGGACAACTACGCCGCCCCCTACGATGATAATACAATACTGGCGGCTCAGACACACATTTATTTTCGCAGAATTTGCACTGTCGTTTCAGTGAATTCCATCGTTGAGACGTGTAGCCGCCAATTCCTTGTTTACACCACCTGTAAGCACGAAACACTCAGTGTCTGTCAGCTTCAGCCGGACGTCACAATCGAAACGCAGGTCCGGCGTTTGGACGTATTTCATTGTTTCGCCATTTATGCTTTGTGCGGGAAAACCAAGTAAATGTACCATGGATAAGTCATATTGTTAAATTTTCAACGAGGAAACAAATTGATAACAATAAGTTAGTCCACTCACATGTGCACAATTTGTTCAATACGGGTAATAATGCGAAAAAACCTTACCTCGCCTAGGTGAACGACTACGACTTCTGCTGCGCACCATCTTGGATTTGCTGGTAAACAGTACCCCTTAGCTGTGTGCTAATTAACCGCACCGTACAAGTGACAAGCCTGGTTCGGCCTCTAGGTGTCGCTATTGCCAAACGATCGAAGATAATAAATCGACGCGGGGTCATGTGTGGGCGGGCAAAGTCCCTCATAGATGGAATGTGATGCAGGGAATCATTACTACATTATATTAATAATAATAGTTTATTATGCAACTGTAAAATCTGCTGTAGATACAGTAAGGTAAAAATAGTGTAAAGTAAAAATACAATTAATACAACTAAAAATAACTACAAATAAATCGGAAAATAATAAAAATGCAGTAGTAAATCAAAGTAAAGCTTCTCTCTACCCAGGGGTTTACACATGCGGTGCTGAAATGACTGTATCGTGTCTACGTGATAGTAAATGGGTTGTGAAATTTACACAAAAAGAAAGATCTAAACAACTATAAAGGTATAATTTTAAACTCATCTGCATCGAATGTATATGATAAAACAGTAGAAACAAAACCTTACTAGGCGAAACGATACGCGATGTGATGAAAATATGTTCACACTTAAAGGCATTGCTTTCATGAAGGAAACAAATAATAACCAACTTCCTGAATTTGTCTAATGCCTTGGAGTGCAGAAATAAGAGGGGAATTTAATGATATTGAAACTGATTATTTCGAAAACCAATGAAGCACATTTCTTCTATCTGTGAATGAAAGTATTAAACATGGGTGTGTACTGAGTTCTTTACTATTTAGCGTGTTGGTGAAACATAAGGCCAAAAAAAAAAAAAAAAACTTATGTTGCCCTCAATTCGGAAAATTGAAAAATTTGGTCGGTCGGTCGGATTTTTTTTTAAACTCGTGAAAACTAAGGGTATCGTAAATAGCCGAGGTATATGAAAAACAAACGCGACCCGATATTTCATATTTTTCTGGGCCTAATAGTCACGGTAACGATGGCATTGCTATATTGGTCGCCACTGCTGACACATTAAAATCATCGGGCTTAATATGGCTGCTTTTACTGGAATAGCACCCAAAGTCTATCTACAGCTTACGCCCGACGATTTTAATATAACCGACACATAACCATAGTCGTACCACTCTTACTGTGACGTGAAAATGTAGGAAATCAGCATTTCCTATGATTATTATTAATTATTAATATTTTGCAAAAACGTAATTACTAGTTTATTTGCCCCCTCATCTGTATTTATCACTGTCGAATTATAGCAATTTTTCTCAGAAAGATTATTACATTTTTAGGCAACGTTTTATGTGAATAAATAAAGATTTGGAAAATGATATATCAAAAAAAAAAAAAATCCAAACTTTGCCACCTGTCTGTGAAAATTCAAAAGGGAGACTGAACGAATTACACGTGCATTTTTATATTTTTTGGCTGAGTTGTGTGACTTCTTTCAAGCCGTTTCAGGCCAATAAATAGTATTATTAGTAAACAGTAGTATACACTGTCAATGTATGTACATGAATTAAACATTGTATTCAGTAACTTTTTGCTTATGCATTATTGTGGGAAGATATAAAATGACGTCCCATGACAACATGCGCATGGCCTTATGTCGAAAGCGTGACCGGAAATGCTGTCTGAAACTTCTGAAGCCTAAACGTCCGTGCCAATGCACCCGAAGCTACACATATATATGTCAAATATTTTCACTACTTAGTTTTCCTGAAGTCCAATAACAATTCAAAATCCATTTCAATCACAGTTTCGATAGAACATTTGTTTTACACATCCAAATCTTTGAAACAGTTTGTACATATTATATAAATTGTATGTCTTACTATCTGGGTGATTTCTCAGACCACTATCGTCTGAGGTGAATCCACGGACCATGGTGCAAAGATCTTACAGCCACGGAAGTTTCGGCCACACACATGTTTATGATCGATTTAGTTCTTTCCATTTTAGTACTAGTATATATCTGAATTTATTAACGAGTTATGCAAGTACGGCGTATTTGTATTTATATTTATTTACTTATAACTCATACGATGCAAGAACGTCATATTTACTTGTAACTCTACGTCCATATTGCAAGCACGGCATGTTTATATGTATTTACAACTAACAAGCACTTTATAAGCACGGCTTTATTATTTATATGCACGTTGCAAGTGTGGCACATTCATATTCAGTACAAACAGTTAAAAGCACTTTCAGCGAATTAGTGGAATGCTCAAATATAAATGCGATACATATAACAAACGTTCAAATAAATATAATTAAGTTGTACTTGTAACTTACGAATAATTCGTTAATAAATGTCAATATATATAATGGCAAGAAATAGGTCGTTAAGATATAAAAACACAAGTGTGTTCGAAACTTTCTGCATTCTTCCTACTGCATTCGTTTTGGTGTCGGGTTTACTTGTAACCTCCCGGATGTGGGCTCTAACCCATTCCCACTTTCTAGTCGTTGAACGGTGTATGTGGTTTAAGATGGTTGAGCACAATCTTCGTTATGACACTGTTCTACTCATCCAAGCTAAGTCTTCCATGGCACCCCATTGTGAATTAATCAATGCAATGAATGACAATATATGCATTATTTGATGACTGTTCATTACGTAATCAAAACGGCCTGGTAACCAGCGTTCGGGAATGCGACATACGTTTATTATAGCGCCCGCAGCGGCAAGAACCTCCATCCAGACAAGATAGTAGTTGGCAAATGGATTGCCACCTATTTTACCAAATACTCTCAGTGTGACCACAGTCCACCTGTAAATTACTGGTGAAAGAAATGCTAGTACACGATCACTCTGACATTTAGATGTCACGGCTTTGTGAATAGAAAACGTTGAAAGCAGTAGGTAAACTATTGGAACGAGCCAGCTTAAAACCACGGTGTCTTGAAAGGAAGCAGCAAAAGTAGACAGCACACCTGAAAATAGAAGATTTATTAAAATATGAATCTACCGGGTCGCGGGATGGCAGAGGAGGGTTTATGGCTGTGTGAAATTGGTGTCACATGTTTGATATATTCCGTGTGATAAATACTTGCTGTTAGAATACAATACAATATTTTTTATTGTGTCAATAAATCAAATACAGACATTGCTCCGGTTGTTGTAAAATAAAACAAAAAAACACTGATTACTAGTACCTACTTTGTTTCAATATGTTGTCACGTGATTGCAGACTTTTTTTCTGACGTGTTTACATTATTTCTATGTTAAATGTCGAGAAACCAAGAATTACGAATCGTATCGGCAAATTGTCGTAATGCGCGCCTGCTTGTGCACGACTCTATTTAAATGGTTCGGATAACCAGACGACGCTATTCCCGTATCCTGCTTCCCAGCCAACGAAAGTTCCCTAGTGACAACAGAGGGATTTCGCAAGGAGTTCGGTAGACTGGCCCAGCCGTGGCAAATTTAAATTGTTTTCTTAAATCTTGGTCAGATGCTCGTTCTCTGAGAAACTATCATATAAAACAATAAAACTGTTGGAGTCAGTGTGTTTCGAAGTATCCGTAAAATTTCATTGGCTTTCTGTGAGCATAGATGTGTTCATTGTCACGTGTGGCGGTGCGCAATTGCGCGATCACCATTATTATTGAATATTGAGATTATTTTGGCCAGAAAACCCCACGATATTTTATGAACGAAAGTGTACACAAATTTGATGCGCCGGTGATGCTAAAAAGGACAGAATGGACTTTGTAATTTTAGTGTAGTTGTGTTTAAGTTGGCTCTGGAAAGTTGCCAAGTTTTAGGTGATTTGTTGTATGCTAACTGCATGATTCGTGCAGGTATGATTCCCCAGAACAGCTTGTGATCCATTGAAAATTCCAGTTTTGTCAACAAACCTAGACGTGTGAATAGGTCTGATATGTATATACTTATCTTACCGAATGTATTCGCTGTCCAAATTCCGCACATGTCCAACTGTAATAGTTTCTTGTAAACAACAGCGCCACCAGCATGGCTCATAAACAAATGATAAATAACACTACCAAACAAAAGTGATATTAATGATAAATAGTGCATAATTGCAAGTGACGTCACATTCATCACATTCCATTGTAGCCTAATCGTGGGAAATATCAGGAAATACAGCAAAGGCAAACCTGCAATAACAAATATAAGCTCTCTTACAGTCATTTTTTATCACAACAAGTAACAAGTTTACTAAACGGAATTTTCTTTGAAATAATTTCTGTTATTGTAGGTAATTTAGAACTGTTACGTCAGTACTACTTCATCCAAGTCCCAAGCTGCTCCGTTATTTCCTTGGGATCACGCGTTATATTGTATACCAATGAATACAGGAAGTTGGGTTCTGTTATTATATATATATATGTATTATTCATATTATTTCTTGTGAGATAGGGTGTTATTGTGAACGAACCAACAATCCGGCCAGCAGCCAGCATTATTGGAATATAGCGGCTCACTTTTTTATAATAAAAATAGCAGTAATGTAGCAGTTTGTTATGCTAAGTAGATATCCATAATGTCAGTGATGTATATTGTAATACTACTGGTTGGCTTGTCTTTTCACTCACATAATCTATTTGCCAGTGAATTTCCTTGTAAATTAATTTAATAAAACGATTTTATTTATCTTTGCCAAACAACATTCATAGATTTTACTTTGTCGGGGTAAAATGTTCCACACAAAGTAGTTCTCATTAGATGAAGACATTTCATTCTCGATTCAGACTTTTCGTAAAATCATTGTCTGTCTCGCAGTTTTAAGAGCAGCTCCCATCTATGAAATAGGAAACGAATAATACATGCAACCGTGATACAATCGATGAACTGGGGCGAAACAGCTTTGGGACAAAACGGTGCTGGTACGAAATAACTGGGGCAAAACGGGTTCAGACGAAACGTCGGGTACTCTCCCTACTATTACATACTACACTGTACACACGGGTAAATGTTGCTTACGACTCATCGACCAGCACTACTATATTTATGTATAAATAGATGACATCAAACGTTGACTACACATACATAACACTAATCGGCGTATAGATAGGTCAGAACAGGTCATATAAGTTTACCAATCAAACACACTGAATACTTACCATGTGTATATACATTAACCAATTCATTGTGAAGGTAAACAAGACTTTTAACGCAACAAATAATGTTAGTTAACGGCCTGTATCCAGTCAATATAAAACGGTTGAACTGCAGATGGGTTGGCGACTCAGCCCAGTCATATAAACGTACACGTTGACACATTATCTATGTATTCTAACGTTTATCGCGATATTCTGCTGAATTATAGAAGCACGGAGGTAAAAATGTGTTACTTTGATGGTATAAGGTAGTTGTAGCAGTTGTGTTTGTGATGGTGATGACGGTCAGTCAGCTTTGAGACGCCAGTAGTTATTCGTCAACGAGCGCAGATCACACCTGTAAACACCTTGGCAGGGCGTTTTTGTTTTTTGGTTACGAGTTTAGACATGCGCCGAACGTTAAAAACGAGTTGCACTATTATATATGTCGCTGATGGCGGCATTGTGACTTTGGCGGTTCGTAATAGTGCTAAGTATATCCAGCTTAGGGTATCAAATGAGTGAAGTATAACAATACAGATACTAGTAGTTGATTTTCACGAATATGTGTGGATAAACCAAAACTATTTGCTGCTACGTATAAAAAAATCCGTCCACCGCGTCCTACTAGTGTTTTAATACATTTAGAGGGCGGTGGTCATGTAATTTCATGTCAACAAACAATGTACTAGTCTTTTACACGAGTTGTATACGTCGCTGTGAGTCCCATATAGTACCCAGGACGCGGCACGACGACCACCCCTTTAACAGCGTTTTATAGCTGTGCTTATATCTCTTTCCGCGCACCGTAGTGGTGTTTCAAAGTTTTCAGGCAAAAATTCGATTCAATGCAGTGGTTTTATAGGTTCTGAATGACTTTTTCATTAACCTCTTCAGAGGGGATGCAAGGGGTATTTTCTTAAGCTGTAATCAATTGTTTTTATTTTCATAATAATGTAATTTAAATAAATAAAAAACGTAAATTCGTAGACATGGACAAGGTGTTAAATGTAATCAGCTAGTTTATTCGTCCGTAATTTTTACAAAGATATTATTTTTTTTTAAGCGTGTAAAGCATTTCCCAAATTAAATGTAGTAATTTGTACGAAATTTCCAATTTTGATTCTTAAACTCAAATTATCAAAAATATTATAAAAATGTAATTATTATCTGTAAAGTGTAAAAAAAAAAATACGTTCATTCATACGTTCGCAATGTTCATTTTGCCATTGGATTTCGATCACTGATTGTTTGGGCAATCGACAATAAAATTAGGCATATATAAACAACACAAGTAACCTGTAGAATGCTGTGTGGGTAATATTTTTATATTGATTTTTGCTGCATTTGCAGCAAATAGTTACCAAACAATGAGAAATCTATTGGATTGAATATACCTCTCAGGTGGCTTCACATGCATAGTTCAAGCCTGCCTAACCGGTGCTTATACCAGGATTTAGTTACAGCTTCATGTTCCCAGTAATCGCAAGAAATTGACATGAGAATAGAAATTCATGAAAGACTGGCACTCCCATGCAATTAACAGCGAGTTAAATTCTTGGGATTGAAACATATATTTTGAAGTCACTGATGTAGGCAATGAATAACTTAAAGTTGACATAAAGACGAGGTAGTTTATGATTTAAGGTAGAGATGCAGTTTATTTGTGAATTTCAATCAAAAATAGTTTTTTTCGTTTTTTATATAGATTTTTATCTAAAGAACATTCTGTGAAAATTTGACCAATGAATACTTATTGGAACACCGTTAAA